AAGAAGATGCATGGCAGTCCTACTAGGCACAGAACAAACCCATTGCTTTTATTCAAGGACTGGAGCAACTTGCTACTCTCTAGATATGTAAGAACAGCATTCAAGCTAGGTATTTACAGCTAATACTGCAATGAGCTAATAATAACTAGGAGGGCCACTGGGATGATTAGAGGGCTGGAGCACCTCTCCTATGAGGAAAGGTTGAGGGAACTGGGTTTGTTTAGCTTGGAGAAGACAGGAGACCTCATTGTTGTATTTCAATACTTGAAGGGAGCAAATAAACAGGGGGGGAATGGCTGTTTATGAAGGTGGATAATTATAAGACAAGGGGGAATGGTTTTAAAGTGATACAGGGAAGATTTAGGTTAGATATTAGGAGGAATTTTTTCATACAGAGGGTGGTGATGCACTGGAACAGGTTGCCCGAGGAGGTTGTTGATGCCCCATCCCTGGAGGCATTCAAGGCCAGGCTGGATGTGGCTCTGGGCAGCCTGGTCTGCTGGTTGGCGACCCTGCACACAGCAGGGGGTTGAAACTGGATGATCATTGTGGTCCTTTTCAACTCAGGCCATTCTATGATTCTTGATAATGGAACAGTTTAATCCTGAGCAAATAGAGAAAAAAAAGCTCTCAAAATATGTGCCTTATATAAATTGGGAACTTGGTATCAAAACACAAACAAGTTTTCTTAACTTGAAGAAAATATTACTTATCTCTGCTTGTTTGTTGCAATACATGCTTTTTAGTTATTGTTAGTTTCCTGCCACTTGTTTTCACCTTCCTTCCTCTAGAAGAATTTGTTTTTATATCCAGCACCAGAATCAAAATCTTTACAAAGATAAATTGCTTTCCTTAACATCAGGGCAGGATTTCAACTTGTCATTGCTGAGCATCTCGAATGCTTTCTAGAGACCCTAACAGAAAATCCAGGATATTTCTGGAGAAACCACAGTTATGCTTGTATCCATCGCTTGTAGCCACTGCATAATCCGTCTCCATACAAATAAAATAAATGCCCACTCATTACGCTAGTGTCAGAGCCTTGATTTAATTCATCTACCTTTATTCAGGCTGAGTAGCGTTCTACTCTGGGAGCTGTTCTATTAACCAACTAGGCATAAAAAGGCAAATTATTGGATACATTTGAAGCATTAACAGATATTATTTACAATCTGTATTGTCATAACAGCTGGTTGCCAGTCCAACTCTAGGGAGTTGTGCTTTTGACAGCGTGCTATTACAAAAAGTCAATGTTTGATTTTGCAGGCTGATGCAGTGATCCAGGAGGTACGGGTACCCAAACCTATCTACTGGGATTGTTCATTTGTGCCCAACAGATGTTTGGAGAAATGATACCGAAGCAGATATATGTAATATATACTGCTACATTCAGGTTTGTACTTGAATTGTAAACTTTCTCATCCAGAGGAGGCCACAAAAATGATCAAAGTGCAGGAACACCTCTCCCATGAAGAAAGGGTGAGGGAAATGGGCTTGTTTAGCTTGGAGAAGGCTCCAAGGAGACTTCATTGCAGCCTTCCATACTTGAGGAGAACTCACAAACATGAGGGAGACTGACTTTACATGATCTGGTAGTGATAAGGCAAGGGGGAATGGCTTTAAACTAATAGAGAAAAGATTTAGGTTAGGTATCAGGAGAAAATTCTTTACTTGGGGGGGGGAGGGGGGCACTGCCCATGGCAGGGTGTATGGGAACTACTGATTCATGGCCTGAAACTTTGACTAATCACCTAAGGAAAGCAATAAGTCAGCCCTGGAAGCACAGGTGAAGGCATTTACCTGTGCTGCCGGAAGGGGTGGAGCTTGGCTCCACCTCTCCTAGATCCATTTAAGAGCTGATTACCAGTAAGGAAGGATCTCTTTCTGGAGATCCCTCCTTTGGGAGTTTTCTAGCAAGCCCAGGAGAAGGGTAAGCCTTCTATCCTTTTTGATGTAATAACCTGCTTAGCCAAACTCTCTTGCATATTTCTTAATTATAACACCTGTATATTCATCGATTATACATAGGGGTTGAGGCTGAGTGGCCTTTAAGCTCACTTCCAACTTAAGTCAGTCCATGATTCTATAATTTTTCCTTGAATACTGAATTTCACTGTGCATTTGCTTTTACATTCACTACGTAATACATTTAGAGTTTCCTAATAAAGGCATGTATATTTAGATTTTTAAAAAAGTAAAAACAAACAAAAAACAAAACAACAAAAAAAACTCCACACAAACTAATACACCACAGCCATTTTTATTGCATTATACAGACCAAAGTAATCATAAAAGATGAGTTAGGACATAATTCTGCAGTTCAGCATCTGTGCAGAAGCCTGCCCCATATGCTATACATAAAATTCCTGACTCATGCAGGTGTGACTGCAAGATGCGGGCCACTAAACAATGAAAACAGCTGAAAAACTTTGGTTAAAGCAGTTTGGCTGAGACACCACAGTTTAAGCAGGTCAGTATGAAAAGTCATTCAGCTCTCCTTTGGACTTCTTACCCTAGAAAGAAAGAACAGTAATAAAATCGGGCAGCAATAAATTTAGAGCAAATTATATTAAAAAATACTTGTATATAGCACATGTCCTGACTATGAAATAGTAATAGGTCATCAAATTAAATACGATGACTGGATAATTTTATCATTGCTTGTACTGAGCCAAATCCTCCTTTCCATGGGTAAGCCAACCAAAGCAAGAATGTTTGCCCAAATAATGCACGATTTACCCCAGTAGTTATGAGATTGCTATGTTCAATGAGAAGAACAAAAATGTAGCTAGAGCTCAGGGTCAGTGTATCTTCTATTTATTGTAGTGGGGGAGTAAACTCACTATTACAGTTCCATGATTTGCTAGAATCACTGCAAAGGGGCTTTAAAGTGATAAGTACTGTTCACTGGTTCAGTACTGGGTCACAGATGCTATACTGAGAACCTGACTCTAGCTCCAGATTAGTCCAGCAAGCTATTAGGGATCACAGTGCATTCTGTAATGAGGAACTATAGGGCTTGGTGCATATGTTCTGAGAACTTATTTCCCCTCTCCTCACCCATAAATAACTTCTCAACACAATCAGAATCACACAATGATGTTATGATTTATATGCCAGGTTTCAATCTGATCTCAGGTATTCACTTCCAAACCTTTCAAAGTACCAGTTTCTAATTAAAATTATGACACGTTCTTTCAACAATAACCCAGTATGCAAGGACCTGCATACCTTTCAAATCTTTCATAAGGCAAAGAGTCAGCCTTAATTTGCAAGTAAAGTTTATTGTTCTGTTGGCTTTAGGTAATGAAAACTTCTTAGAAACAGACTGCCATGTCAGGAATGTGGCACAATATGCATGGCTAGAGCCAATTTTGAAGGAAGTTACAGTGTCAAATCGCCTCTTTTCAGTAGAAAAAACTTCACTCTCAATTATAAATGCAATTCCAGCCTGACCTTGAGTGTGTCCAGGAATGGGGCATCCATCACCTCTCTGGGCAGCCTGGATCTCCAGGGAGAGGTTATGGATCCTTTGAGTGCCTTCCTGGCACTCACTGCCAGAATTTCAGTCCCACATAATGAAACATGAGAGCTTGTGTCACTGCTCATGCTATTCAAAGGGATGCCTTTATCATTGCTGCTTAGGGGCTGAGGGAATCCTCTTTTTTTCTTCATGTACAGATATTAAATGTCGGAGTCAGCAGCTGGCATTCTGCAGCCGTCAGAGGGAATGTCTTGATGGCCATTGCCTCAGTGTTGGCAGGAGGAGCAGGGGGGATGTAAATGTAGGCAAAAATTGGCACTAGCCAACTCAGAGGAGGAAAACACCCTTCAGTGGTATTTATGCTTGGCCTGGAGCTCTGGGAGGACAGAGGCTACTAGAAAAGTTGATGGAGAAGCACTCACAGCCATCGTAGGAGGAATCCCTTTGCACTGTGAGGAATTCCTACAGCCAGAAGGGCTGTCACAGGGTCTGTGGGAATTGTTCCTTTGGGGGAGCACTGGCCAAGCCTTGCTCCTTCAGGATGAAGGCAGCCACCACACCTCAGTGATGAAACTCGGTAGCCAACATGGGCCCTACTGGCTGAGCCTGCCGCTGGTCCTCCAGCCTCTTTGCCCATCACCTCTCTTTGCCTCGGGGCGAGGCAATGAAGTAACGCCCTCTCCTTTCCTTCTCTCCTCTCAGGGCTCTTTGGAAGCAGTGGGTAAAAACCGACATCTATCACCGGCATTTAACAGCCTGGCTTTCCCCAGGGGAGAAAAAAAAAAAGGGGGGGGAAGGAAGGAAGGAAAAAACCAACCTTTACCACCCACGCAGAGATGCTTTTTTAAGGGAAGGGGCGAAAAAAAAAAAAAAAAAAGCACAGAAAACCCAACCGAACAGCAGCAATCCCCTTGGCTGAGCTCCCCGTTCGCCCCCGGCGCGGTGCCCCCAGCTGGGCAGCAGCAGGTGCTCATCCCCCCGCACCTAGCGACTCATCCCAGCCTCCCCCAGCCCCGGGCGGCCTTCGGGTGCCGCTTCCCATCTCTTTGGGAGATATTTTCGGGTGACGGGAGCCACCTCGTCATTTCCGCCAGGAGAAAAAGACCCCGCGCACGGGAACCGCGGCCTCAGAGACCCGGTGGACGCAGTCTCAACCCCGCCGCTCCCCGCTCCGCTGCCCGGCAGCAGAGCCCTCGCCAGGGCTGGGAGCCGCCCTCGGGGCCGCGGGGGCGGGAGGCGTCGGAGCGTGCCACCGCCTCCTCCCCCTCCTTTTTCCTCCTCCTCCTCCTCCTCCCCCTGCCGCCGAGCCGGCAACATGAACTGAAATCCCTAGAGAGGAACAGAGGCGGCGAGCGAGCGGAGCGGAGCGGAGGGAAGCGGGGCTGTAGCGGGGATTTTGGCTCCTTCGTGTAGAGGAACGGCCCCGTCTGAGGGCAGAACGCTCCCGAAGCTGCGCACAGCCTCGCCCCTCACCAGAAGAGCGGCGGCCTCCCGAGCCCCTCGCCTCCGAGCCCCCATGGCCCTCATTATGGAGCCCGTCAGTAAGTGGTCGCCGAGCCAGGTCGTCGACTGGATGAAAGGTGAGCGGCGCGCCCCGCGTCCTCCCAGTCCTCGTCCTCATCCCTGCAGGTGCTCCCAGCCGACTCCCCCCGTGGTTTTGGGCAGGGGTTGGGAAAGGAAGGGAGCGGCTGTCGAGTCTTCGCCGTTTGAGGGGACTCCGGGCAGCCTCGGGGCGTGGGGGTGGGAGCGGCCGGCGACCCCCGACGGTCGCAGCTCCGGAGAGGCGAGAGGGGGCTGTGCCCGGGGGGCTTCAGGCATGGGGCGCGGCAGGCAGCTCTCAGCAGAGTCTCGAAATAAAAGTTGGACCCGGGGGAGTGCACCCGGTGCCTTGCCTGGCTGCAAATAGCGATCTGCATTCGGGGAGCGGCCCCCGCCGCTTGAGCGGCCCCCAGCCCGAGCTTCGTTCCCGCAGTGCGCAGCCCCTGGAGTCGGCACGGAGGGACGCGCCGCTGGCGTTAAGCCGGGTGCGATGTACGGCCATTTGTTGGGCTGCCATTTATTTGCACGGCTCCTCTGCCTGCTCCCGCTCCCTCACCTGTCACCTTCTCTCTTCCCCACGTATTGAGAATAAAACTTGGACTTTCTGGAAAGGCTTCTCACTTATTCTTCATGTACTGGCTTGGCTTTAAAACTCCAATTTAAAAAAAAAAAAAAAATGTTTTTTTTTCTCCCTTTCCTTTTTACCTTTAACTTAGTCTGCAGCTGTGTTTTGAATAAATCACTCTCTGATATTATGTATCTTTTAATAAAGATAGAATGACCGGATGGGTACAACTTTCGAACAACTGCTACATTGTGGGAGTTCCTTATAGCGTTCTGCATGCTACTAATGTGACAGTTCCATCATCCTTAAAATTTCAGGCATATAGCATATGTTCTCCATGCTGGCGTTTATAGCTGTCGAGTTATAATTGTGGTCAGTAATGTACATAGCTTTTTGCAGTCCGTAGAATTTTAAAAGCTGAATAACATGATACTTCATATTCTAAGGAATTAGCAAACATAACTGGCAACTTGAAGGAGCTGCAGGTGAGCAGCACTAAATGCAAGTCCATTTCAATCCCGGAATGTTTCATTGCAGTCATTTGGCTTGCAATGTTTTTTTTTACTTCTAAAAAAGCTCATGTTGGGGTTTTTTCAAAGCAGCGTCTGAGATACCTTCCTAATGTGTTGAAAATGCAAACAAACAAACAAAGAAGCCCAAAACCACGGATGAGCTTCAGAGATCCCGTTTTTCAAACACTTCAAAATTGTAATACATCACATACTTCTTGTAAGTGACAGGTGAAGTGCATGCCATGTTATGTGTCTGTATTGCTTCAGTGTAGAATTAGTTATTTAAAACCAACAGGCTGACTACATGAAATCCAATATTGAAAATAGTGCAGCTGGAGGAGGGTTCGGAGTGAGAAGCCTGGAAGCGACTCGTGGGGCTGTAGGTCTGCTAGGAAAAGAATTAGGTGGACTTTACAGGGAAAGAAAGTGGGGAAAAAAGTTACTGCAATCACGCCTACTGTTTGAGTTATGAAGCTTGCCTTTAAATGTTCAAACTGTTTATTTTGGTGCAAATGCTCATTTGTTTTTTGAAATACTTCCATTTTTACTGAGCAAACAAACCTACGTTGCTTCAAGCTTCCACTTCTTTGTTTTGTATTCTGCAGAGCTGATGACACTTCATCTAGAATGATGTGCACAGAGGTAACCTACCTGCCTCTGGTGAGAGCTGTGTGAGAGAATCCACCCACACACCTGAGGTAGTTTCAGACGTAGAAACAAGTAGGACTGGCAGCTGTGTGCAGGTCACTCTGCCTGCCAAAGCTGGGGGAAGGACAGCAGTGGGGAAGGGCTGCAGCAACTTTGTTTTCCTGACTTATTGTGTGAACACAGTTGCTAGAATCCAGGTGAAAAGACATTCTTTAAGTGTGTAGTTTCTGAGAAACACAGTCCAGAATGTCACAAAAATAGCTTGTGTTGGTTATTTGGAGAGGTACCTAAGCAGGTATATGCCTAAAATGGGAATGAACACATCTTTGTCAAGAGAACTTCGGGGTGAGTGCATTAGTGGTCTCTGCATTAATAGCACTTAATTTTGGTCTGCAGAAATTACCTTCAGCTCCATGACATGGGAATATTAGGCTGAGTTACTGGGGTTATTTTAACGAATTACAAATGCTGAACTTGGTTTTAACCTCTTTCTTTAAATAAGTGCCCTGTTATGTAATACGCTTGCTAAAAGCACTTCTGTAAAGAGTGTTCTTCAAAACAGATTTCAATGTTCAAAGCACAATCTTTCTTGCAAAAGGAAAATCCTACTGTTTAACATTGTTTACAGTTATCTGAAAGCAAGGGGAAATGAAACACTTTGGATTTTATTGCTCTCAGTGTTTCTGTGATGGTCTTACTGGTATGACCTGAACGTTTGCAATAAATTCCCTGTCTGGAATTCTTTATTTAGGCAAAAGAGCCGTGACATCAGTAGCATTTTGTTCAGAGCATGATAAAGCATTGGGCCTAGCATTAAGGATGTGAAAAATGAAGACAAAGAAAGTATTCCAGCCCCGAAGCGTTACATAAAAGTGCCGACTCTTTGCCAGATGGCTGCATGGGGACTGGGCTCAAGGCGGTGGGTGTTCACCAAATTAATGCAGCCTCCCCAGTGTGCTCTCAGTTTTTAATTTCTTAACATCCACAGTAGGACTGGGAAGTCCTTAGTGCTCCTTGGGTGCTAGCACTGCTCATAGGTGGAGTTGGGCATGGAACTGGTTATGTGCGTGAGTAAACCGCTGTCTAAATTTTGCCTTGTGAAAATGTGTACAGTAAGGTGTTGTGAATCCAATTGTGTGAACCAGGTGATGTTAACCAATTAAAGCTTTGCAATTGAAAATGGGAGCCTGTGTCAGCAGATGAGTTCTTGTCTGTTTTGAAGTTAACTCGCCAGCACTGAATTGACTGTCACGGAGCTGGAAAAAGAGCAGATGGATTAGCTCATCTCTCCCACAGGATGGCATATTGGATGTGCAGGATAAGATGAATATTTAAATTGATTCAAACTGCGCGTTATTTCACTTTTCATATATTTAGTACTAATTTTAAAGGCCCTGCATGGATCAGTGAGCTGAAACTGTGTCAATCAACTCCTCTGCCTCTCCTTTTGAGGACATATGTGGATTCCACTCCAGCGTTGCAAGACGTTGGCATGTTGTATGGGCGGGCGTCATTGAGCATCATGGCTTTCACTGAGTTGTGAAGGGAGCTTGTCAGATGTGCTTTGGATTGCTAGGGCTCTGAGCAAACTCAAAGACAAGGCACTCAATTACCTTCCAGCCACCAGGAGATTTTTAACTGGGTCTTGTAATTTTCCTTCTTTTGTTCCAGGTTATTTCTAATAGCTGTAGTTTAAGGGCTTGCTGCTTTTAACAATATTCTAGTTTTAATTCAGCACCATTTTTGCAGTGGGAAATGTGTTCAAAAAGGCAACCCATCTGGAAAAATTGAAATTACCTTATGTAAAAAAGATTAAATATATATATATATATTTTGGTAAATGACAGCTTATAGAGCTTGTACTGAGCTCATACAGCTTAAATTGTTGTAATGGTAGTAATACTAATCAAGCTGAATTTTGAAGCATGGAGATACTTTAAAAGCTTTTAAAGCTAAAGAATGTGGTCTTTTTTACCTACATAAAGTGTACTGTACCAGCATTTAGAAGGATGTAAATATTTAGGACTAGTGGAAGAGAGAGGCTGATGTGAATGTGCTAGCAAAGAGAAAGCAGAGTGTGAAAGTTTCTCCTTTGGGTAAGTTAATGTTACATGGATTTAAGAATAGAGTTTCTCTTTGCTCTTCATGTGCAGAGATTCCCGTTTTCAGCAGTGCATTTGCACAAAGTCATCAGGGGCTGCTGACAGCTGTGCGCCAGTAGGTGTAACGGGAACTGTTTGTGCTTCAAGAAAATGCAAGGGTTTGTGAAAATGCTCTGAAGCCAAGACTGTAACACTTAATAATAATTAAAATCTTGCTCTGGGGACCCTTTTACTCATGTTTCTGTGTGTGCATAGCCCTAGGACTTCTGTGGCAATATCCCAGGTTGTTCTGTAGTCTCTAAACTATTAGCCTGCTCATCAGCGAAGGCACCTTACCTTTCGCAGCACTGGGATTTAGACTTCATAAGCAATAAGAATGACCACAGAGTTACTGTCAGACCTATTTGAGAAGTTCATTTTTTGCCTTGGCTTTTGCTAAAGAAGATTATTATGGACAGAGGTTAGGAGAAAGCTTTTTCTGAAGTGTAGGATTGACTGTGACACTGCAAATACCTTATGAGCGTCTGCCTCATGGTAAAGAAGTGGTGTGCTTGCATGTATGTTATGTGCCCTCATTTTGAGCTTTCAATTTTATCCTCGTCAGTTTTCTTTGCTGTGTTGAGTTAAAGGTACTTTTTTATACTACTTGTTGTTGCTTTTGAGCAACAACAATTAACAAATATAACTTAACAAATATTTTAGAAATAATATGTGTATTGCTGAATGCTCCCAGAGAAACAAAAGATGGAAATCTAAGAATATGAAAAATACATGCTTTCTAAAACTTTAGTTCATTGTAAGGATTGTGGTAGATGACTGATAAGCTGCAGAAGAGTCATCAACTTGAAAAGTCATTGTGTATCACCGTATGTAAAATAGATCAGGTGTTTAACATTTTGTTAGCATAAAACAGCATTTTTTTTTTCCTCCCAAGAAAAGCAAACCAAAATTCTACGGTATCAGAGGATACATACAGTTGTCCATCAGCTCTGAAGCAATGCTATTAAATGCTATTAAATGTAGCTATGAGTTTTACTGTAATGCCTAGCAAGAAAACCTGTGGAAAAACTGTAGAAAAAGACAAAGTGGTACCACAGTTGGAGCTTAATTATGATGAAATCCTGAACTTGCTAATTTAGAGGTAGTTACTCCATTCATAAAAATAATAATTTCACTAAGAGGATGTTGGATCCTTGCTGAAAGGAGGAGAGGGG